TTAAAGGTCCTTCCATGTTGTAGTATGTGTCAGAATTTCCTTCCTAAGGCTGAATAATATTCCAATGTATGTGTAGACCATATTTTGTTTATCCATTCATTAGCTGATGGATATTTAGGTTGTTTTGGAGTTTGGCTGATGTGGATAATGCTTCTAGGAACACTGTTGCACATCTTTTTTTAGTCCTTATTTTCCATTCTTTTGAGTAATATTCCTAAGAGTGGATTTGATTGATAACATGATAATTGTATTTTTAGTTTTTTTTAGGACCTGCAAAACTCTCTTCCAAAGCTCTAACAAGGCATTATTTGGAAAAAGGGTTTCATGGTCAACAGACTTCATCATGGAACTCCTTCTCCGAGAGTCATAATGTATCTTAGTAAACATAGTAAAGGCTTTGACAGGTCCTGAGATAAAGAATCTATGTAACTTTGTCCCATCATTCTCCAAACTAATTTGATACTGTAAACCTGTTTTTACAGAGTAACTGGTAACATGCCATCCCTTGCTGGACTGGAAAACACCACCCATAGTTCTCAGGCAGATGTAAGAAGGGCTGGGGCTCAGGGAGAGAGAACCACTACTCAGAGCCCAGAGACAGAACCACATCTAACTCTCCAACCAGTCTGTTAAGCTCTTTGTCCTGATGGCTCTGCACTTGCCTGGCCCATCCTTCCTCTACTTCTTTGCTTCTTAAAGATTATTTTAACTGTCAGGACTAGCTCAGGCATCCACCCTACCCTCAAGAAACTCTCACACTGCTCTTGTCTTACCGGGGAGGGAGTGAGTGGAAATTTTTCTTCCCCTTAGGCTTAGCTTTTATTATACTGTATTGTCCTATTAAATGATTGGCCTCCTCCACTATATGGGGTGGTGGTGGTGGTGTCAAGTTTAGTTTGTATAAACAACCATCTGGAGAGCTTATTAAAGATGCAGATGCTGCCGAAACTGGTTTGGCTCAGTGGATAGAGCATTGTCGGCCTGCAGACTGAAAGGTTCCAGGTTTGATTCCAGTCAAGGGCATGTACCTTGGTTTCAGGCACATCCCCAGTAGGAGGTGTGCAAGAGGCAGCTGATTGATGTTTCTCTCTCATCGATTTTTCTAACTCTCTATCCCTCTCTCTTCCTCTCTGTAAAAAATCAATAAAAACATATATTTAAAAAAATTTTTTAAATGCAGATGCCTCTGTCTTACTCTTAAAAATTCCAGCTTAGTTGCTCTGAGGTGTACATTCAATAGCTCTAAAATGTGCATTTTTAAGAAGTACCTGAGACAGTATTCTCAGGCTCTTGATATTCAAAATCCCCCAGTTGTTGGCTCTGTGAGGATAAGAATGATTTCTATCTGTTTATTTTACATAATAAATGTTAAAGGATTAAATTAATGAACAAATGAATGAATGAAACTATGCCAGTTTCCTCCTCTGTAAAATGATGAGGTTGAATATTCTCTAAGCTTTCTGTTGGTGAAACTGCTCTTTATAAAGTTCAGGTTATTTGACCCAAGCTGCTGTGTTCCCAGCCACCTTAAGCTCAGAACCATACACAATACACAAACCGAAGCACATGAAACCTCCAGGGAGACCACAGAAGAGGATTTAGTCCTGCTTCGATTTAGCAAATCTCTCAGGGCTTGTGAATAACCATATTTTGAAACTGTCAATGTTATCACAAGCCAGACATACAAAGAGAGGCATACACTTGTGCCCCATGTGAATTCAGTCTCATTCTCTGAGTAGCTGAGAGGCAGCACTGTCAAGGCTGACAAACCCCCAAGTTAGGGAATTGGGAGCTAGGCATTATGGGAAACTAGGGTCCAGAGACGATGCCTGGGTGTGAAGCAGCTCTCCTGCTGGGTGGAGGGGCACAAACTCGATCCAAACCCCTCGACTCTGTTCCAACCATTTCTCAGTGGCATCTTTGAACATAAAACCCCAAATCTCTGTGCCCTGAGAACACTGCAGGTTTTGAGGGGAAGCTCTGGCTTTTCACAAGAGCTATGGCCTGAGAAAAATGAAATCTCCCATTACTTATAACCCCTCAGCATTTCAGAGGCAAAGGTTGGCTATGGCTGCCAAGATCTAGCAAATATTTGGTTAGCTTGGAAAGAATGGGTGCTCATTTTCCAATTCTCACAGATTTTCTCTGAGCCCAGCTCCTTTTATTAAAAACCTCAAATCCAGAGGTACAATCGAATGGCACTTGAGGCTCTAAGCATTCATCTGTATCCTGGGAAGCAGAACCCAGCATCTAAACAAAGAAAAGCTTAATCAACGGAACTCATGAATTCCCTCCAGGAACAGGGCCCAGTGTAGCAGAAGAATAGTCAGAGGGGCTCCTGACTGCATTTTCTTTGGGGGGGTGTTTATGGGAACGACCAGGGGTTGCTCCTTCAGTTGATTAGGCTCAGCCCACCGCGGCCTATGGGATAAATCCCACCCTTTGAAATTCCTACCCAGGATGTGAATTAAGGTTGCCGTGTTTTGTTTTGTTTTTTTATTTTTTATTTTTTTAAATATATATATTTTATTGACTTTTTACAGAGAGGAAGGAAGAGAGACAGAGAGCTAGAAACATCAATGAGGGAGAAACATCGATCAGCTGCCTCCTGCACACCCCCCTCTGGGGATGTGCCCGCAACCAAGGTACATGCCCTTAATCGGAATCGAACCCGGAACCCTTCAGTCTGCAGATCGACGCTCTATCCACTGAGCCAAACTGGTCAGGGCCGCTGTGTGTTTTTAAATAGAAGAATATCAAAATAAGAAAAAACACTTCATGAAATCTGAAAGCTATGGGAAATTCACATTTGTGTCCATAAGTAAAGTTTGGGCAGAAGGTGACGGAAGGTTTTTGTGTGTTTCCGTTGTGAGCCACAATGGCAGGGTTTGCAGCTGAAACTCCTGTCCTACCAGGCCCTCTGCAGGAAGTTTGTAGGCCCTTGGAAAGTAGGGCATGTATGATTTATTCGTCACCAATATTTGCACAAAAAAGAAAGTATAACACACGTACATGGTGATAGTTAATTACAAAGCAAACACCAGTATAACTTACGGTGTGTGCGTGTGTGTGTCAAGAAACAAAAGATTGTTGGTCATCACCTCCGAGTCCTCCACATGCTCTTTCTTCCTGAACAGAGGCCATCAGGCCCCGGGCTTTTGATAATGCCTTCCTTGCTGTTCTTTATTAATACTTGACCACCTCAACCCCATACAGCGGTGCGGCTTTACCCACAGGAAACGGGTTCCAGACCCGCAGGGCATGCCTAAAACCACAGATCATGCCACTTACGCTGTCTTTCTTTCCTACACATCCGTACCGATGATATAGTTTCATTTATAAATTAAGCACAGTAAGGTATTCACTGCTACTAATAAAAGAGAACAATTATAACGAAATACTGCAATAAGAGTTCTGTGATATGCTCAGACTCACCTTCTCAGGATGTGCAACGATACCAGTGAGTTAAGGCCAAGACGCTGTGGTGAAGCGATAGGCCGCGCCTGCGCACCTGACGACGCCTACCCGGCGCTGTGTGCTTCTCTGCCGCACATCCCAACCGCTGGCATCACGATCCACACAGGGGCTGGGCTGGGGAGCCATTGCTCAGCAAACTTAGGGTGACCTGCGGGCAAACACCGCGACACCTGGGCAGCCTGGTAAACAAGATGGAGACTCCCACGCTGCGTGAGGCGTGAGGCGTGAGGGAGCGTGAGTGGCGTGGAGACGCTGGACTAAAGGGTAAGTCCCCGCAGAGCGAGGCATCGCGAGATTTCCTCACGCTGCTCAGAACAACGTGCGATTTGAACCGCACCCCTCCCCTCTTCCACACCCCCGTGGGTGGAAAACACATGGTTTCTGGAATTTTCCCTTTAATGTGTTTGTACCTCAGTTGAAATTTCGGGAAGTGAAGCCTAGGATGTGGGGGACTCCTGTAATCTCGCTTGTTTTTGGACTGTATATTGATAGAATAATACGATATTTGCTTTGTGTCTTGCTGCTTCCTTTCAGTGGTCTGAGGCTCGGCCCTGAGTTACTGCATGTGGCTCTAGTTCTGTTGCCATTATCCTTGCTGCATGGTATCCCATTGTACTACTTTAGCACAGTTCGTTTATTCACTTTACATTTTGCTGGGCAGTGGGTCATTTCCAGTTTGGGGCTGTTGTGAATAGCACTGCAATGAACTCCTTTATCTGAACCATCATTGACTTCTGCAAAAGTCCAGCACTGTTGAATTGAGGGCTATGTATGTGTATCTTCAACTCTACCAGTTATAGCAAACTATTCTCTAACGAGGTTGGGCTAACTGACTTCTCACCAGCTGCCTCCTTTTAGGGAGCAGAGAAGCTCTTTGTGTCTTCTCAATCAGCACTAGTTCCATCTCTAAACCTTGAACCACACCTGTCCCCCAGCAGAAGAGCCATAGTGCCTGAGGCCATCACCCCTTCTGGTTTGTATCTTCCTGTAATGTAATTCTCTGGTCTTAAACCGGCAGCGAGAAAACAGTCAAGGTTCTAATAAGCATGATCCTTGAGATAATGTGATTATCTTTTAGATTTTGTGCTTGGCTAGCTGGCTATAGGCTAGCCAGATATGAAAATATCCTGACCACTTCCTCTTTCCCCCCCCCCGCCCCAGCCCTCCATCCCACGGATGGGAGTTGAGGTCATCACAGCAGGTGGGTCAGGTGGCCTTCCAAAGCCTGCAAAATGAACAGGCTGAGATATCAGGGAAATGGTCATTGCCCCTTTCTCCTTCAGAAAAACAAGGGGATTTCAAAGGTCAGTTTGGAGCTGATGCTTGTGTCTTTGTCTACAGGGCTTTAGAAAAACTGGACAGGAAACGCCCACCCCACGCTGAAACCCCATCACCTGGAGGTCCAAGCACTCGAGGCATTTCTGAAGCATGATGTAGCACTACACGGAGAAGACACAAATAAACCCCAAACCCTGGCACACATTTATCCAGTTTGTGAAGTGGATTAATAGAATAACCAATAAAACATGTATAAAAGCTTTAATTAAATCTGATGAAATAAAACTTCATGTTTTATTTATGGACACTCCCAACATGTAAAGGATTCAGGGACACATTCATTTTTACTGCCATTCCATCCTCATATCTATAATTAAATCCAGGCTGCAGCTCTGGCCCAGAGCAATGCAGCATTTTAAAGCTGGCCTTGGACACGCCCTCTCCCACCAGCTGCTTTTAATTATAATTACCATCTCAATATAAAGGAGGCTGATGGTAAAACAAAACAAAATAATCAAACAAACAAACAAAAAGCAGTTGTTACCATTGTGTTTTGGAATGACATGCTGAGGGAGGGGTTCAAGCCGTGGGCATAGCCTCCATTTCCAGTTTTACTCGGTACTAAGTGCACAAAATCTTCATTTTACTTTTGACATAAAAAAGGACTTCATGAAACAAGACAAAATAACTTATGATTATATGAAACATAACTGTGACAAATCACAAAACTATACATATTAATAGAAAAAAAAAAGTGTACCTAATTCTTTAAAAGATTTATGACAATAAGCACCAGATGTGCCCTTAGAGTAAGATCGGCCCCATATCCAGTATGATATATGCAGTTCATTTCTCTATGTGAGTGTATATAACTATATACAAGAGTCTGTGTGATTTATGGAAAACAGATTTCTACTTTTCCCCCCCAAAGTGCTGTATGTCAGCAACATTACACAGGATGCTCTGCTGTCTGTACAAAATAAATCTCTTCTTTTTTACACTCACTATTTCTCCAATGAGTGGTGTGACTCTTTTGCTTTATCCGTTGCAAAAAAAAAAAAAAAAAAAAAAGGAACCGCAGAAATTCCACACCACCAACAAAAAGTGCCATTAAAAAAAAAAAAATGCTGCTATAAAATGACATAGTCAAACAGTCCAATAAAATACCAAATAATTAAATCGTTTACAAACACTATTCCCAATACTTCAAGGCAACTGAACAGTCGAGGTTCCTGGGTGGGGCAATGAACATTTACCTCCATTCTGGTGCGTGAATGTGCTTAATATCTGGAAATGTAAAAACTCAAGAACAAACCAACACTCAGTTTCACCAGTGGACGCTGCTGTGAGCCACTGAAGACCTACCGTCTATTTTAAAATAGCCTATGTAATTTGGGGGAAACATGGGAAAAGGACAGATAGTAAATATTTAAATAATACTTAACAGCTGATCCCAGGCTGAATTACAACTGACACTTTGATGCAGTCCCTTTAGGGAATGAAGACAATGCAGCAAATGAAATGTCTCTAGGCATACTGATTTCTTCCTTTTATGTAATAGGGTAATTAGCTTTGGGCTGCGTGTATTTTCCTAGGCACTGGTTTTTACTTAAAAAAAAAAAAAAGAGTAATGACAATCTCTGTTTGGATGTTAATGAAAATGGTTACATGTCAAGACTAAAAGGCCAAAAAGTGGAAGGTAATAAATTTTTGAACATTCCATTTTCACTGCTACGAACATTATAATGAAAACATATGTAAATCCTGTGCAATGTGAAAGCAAGCAAGAAACACATTGTAAGGTCAGGCATGATTCTGGGACCTAAGGACAGAATGCAGAGTCTAGCCAGAACCTGAGTGTCCTGTCCTGAGGCCATAAGCTCAGACCTGCACCATCAGGAAACACAGAGGGTCCGGGAAGGGCTCTCAGCATTGCAGGCAGCCCTGGGCCCTGCTTCCTGCATGCCCTCTGCTAACAGGAATGCCTCCTAAGGGGCCGCCCAATTTTTACTGAGGAAGGAGGGCCTACAGGTGCTCCTGAGGCCTGGCTCGCCCTGGCTCCCTCCAGCCACAGTGGAGCGTGAGAGGGGCAGGACCAGCCTGAAGCCAGGGGAAGACAGACTGGCACGGGAGCATCCCCTCCAGCCAGAGGACATGGCATCCATGGTTTCTGAGGCTCAGCTTCTGGCTTCGTCCTCCTTCCCTCTTTCACCTTTAACTTATATAAAGCCACAGGCAGGGGTGACAACATCAGCTGCAATAACCACCTTGCCTTTCAATTTTTTTCCTCCTCATCACAAAAATAACATGTATTTTGAGTTCCTCATAAAGGCTTCAGTAATTAGAATGAATAGACTGTCTCTCTTAGAAGCTTTCCTTTCTTTCCAGAGTGAGACAAAGGACCAGGAGGGATGCCAGTGTTAGGATGCGTGTGTCCTTGCTTTGGCAAAGGGACACACCCCACCACATCTGCAAGGAGGAGAACACTTTCCCTGCAGTCTGAGGGCTCATCTGGAAAAGGAGCCCGGCAGGCAGGCATCCTCTCATAAAGTAGAGCAGGTGTTTGTCAAGCGAATAACCCGTTTGCAGACTTGGGCGTCTGCACGATGGCTTTTCCCAGATCAGAGCTCATTGGTCAGAGAACTAGCCTGACCAGGTGCTCTGTGAAAACAGACTCATGCGTGGTGCTTTATTCACCTCATCCTACCACATGTTTGAATGAAATCCTACAGCAGGCCGAATACTATATATTTGACTGCTCAGCTGGACTGGGAGGACCCACCTGTCAGGATACACCTGTCCCCGGGTCCCAAGTCTGACACCACACTGTGTACTTATCTCACTGGAGATTGTAATTATTTCTGTTTGACAAACAGCATTGTTTCTTTGTTGTTCCGAAAACATTTTTAAAAAGAGAAAAAAAGCATGAAATGTGGCAGTACTGGAATGTCCAAAGTTACTGGGTGTCTGGGGTTGGGCTCATTATTATAGCCCGGGCCATGAGACTCAGGATCTTTGCAAAGCTTTGTAAAGGTGCCACGGGAAATGGCTTCCTCTTCAGGCTTGACATCAAATGGCCCAGTGCCCTCAAAGCAGAATTTCAGAAAAAAAGGTTGCCTTCTTCTGCCCACCTTTCCAGAACTGTCTCCTCTACCCTCCTGGGACGGGACCTTGCTAACAGCTGATGGTCAGATAATGATGGTGATAGGTGAACCACATTCACGGAGAGGGAGAGAACAATGCAAATAGAGAGAGATAAGCACAGGGGAGAGACAGACAGATGGAAGATATCCTGAGGGAGGTGAGCAAAGGCTGTGCAAAATAATGGCAGAGGGCATCTCTAGTTTGGTTTTCTGAGAAAACCTAGGAACATAACTCAGTGAGTCCCTGTGCTCACATCTAGCACGTCCCTGGGCAGAGCACCAGAGCAGAAGCAATGGATGACAATGGGTGAACCAGTCGTGTGACCTTTTATTTTGAACAAGGTCTTTGAGGTGGAGTTGCTGAACAGCTAACCTGCTAGGGTTCCTGCTACAGCACTGGGAAGAGGGTGTGCTCACCCCGTTTCCCTCAGGTAGCCTTTGCTATGTACAACACTAGCATTCCAGGAGTGCTCACAGGTGCTGCGAGGTGTGGCCAGGCAGAACCACAAGGCTGTGGCAAAATGTATGTAGCTGGGGTGATTAAAATAGTTTGCATCCAAAGAATAGACTTCTAAATATTTTTTTTCCATTAAAGTAGAAGTAGATTACAAGTCTTTAAAATGAAGGAACTAAGACAGGTTTTGGGAATATAAAACAAGTTGTAGTGCCTTTCAAGGGCCTGTACTTAACAGAACTTCCTCACTTTGCTTTTGGAGAAACACTGAAAAGCGACTGGTTAGCATGGGAATATAGAAGAGAGAAAGAGAGGCAGCCAGCTCACTGGAATGCCGGCTGATGCTGAACCCTATGCTGAAGATCGGGGTTCCTGGATGCCTGGCTGGGCATTGGCCAGCAGTGAGGAGGAGCACACTGTGTCTCTGGCAATTTGCATTGAACTTCTCTATTTAGGGTTTTCAGAGAGGGTAGTCCCCACACTACATTTTCACATGCACATCACTTCATCCGTGTCCTCTGAGTGTTGACAGCCAGGAAGAAACAGGTATCTGGGAGAGAGAGAGTCTAAATTCCCTTTGAAATGACAGTCCTGCTGGTCACCAGCAAACTCAGAGAGAACAAGGAACAAACGAAAACATTCCCACAAAGCCCAGCTCTGACCATCAGCCCTGCCTTCCAGGACACATCTGTGACTTCACAGACACCACTGACTCAGTCGCCACCCTCTTCAGGCAGTCTGTGAGGTTCTGAACACAACAGGCGGCAAGCAACAAAAGGTTCTGGATGCCAGTGGTAGTGGAGGCCGGCGGAACTGTTATCCTTCAGTGTAGACAGAGGAAAGCTGGCTAGGACAGCGGTCCACAGCGCTGATCTGCAAAAACGTGGTGTCTTCAGGCCCACTGCGAAGAGACTCTCCGAAGAGGCTTGAGGAACCGGAAGGCAAATCGTACACTGGAAGAGAGCAAACACAGGAGTTAACACCTGCCTCACCTTGCCATGCCCACTGGGGTCCAGTGAGCGATCATGTTGACCTAGCCCCATTAGCAGGTCTCAGTCCTCAGGCACATAGGTGGAAGAGAAGTATGGGGTGCAGACAGATGGCCAATATAAGTCTTGACACAAAGTATGAGCTGAGTATTAGTAAAAGTGAAGTGTTCTGTGGAAGGGTGAGGGTGGTCACACACAAAAAAAGGTAATATTAAAGTTGAGTCAAGGATGGGATTCTTACAGGAGGGGAAGTTAAAAAACACACACAAAGTATTCCAGAAGGAGGAAATAGGTGAGAGAGAGAGAGAGAGAGAGAGAGAGAGAGAGAGAGAGAGAGAGAGAGAGAGAGAAAGAGAAAGAGAAAGAGAAAGAAAGGAGCATGTGGGGCCAAGTGTGGTGGCAAAGCTGAGATGAGAACATGTCGGGAGACATATGTGAGGGAATTCCGGAAAATGTAATCAGGCCCAATTCATAGGCACTTTGAATGGCATGCTGCGAGATCTCACTCATATGAGGAATCTAATGAACAAAATAAACTGAAGAACAAAAGAGACCCAGAGACAGAGAAACATGGAACAGGCTGATAAATTTCAGAGGGAAGGCAGGGAGTGGGGAGGTGGAGGTAGGGTGAAATTAACCAAAGAACATGTATGGATATATGCATAACCTATGGACATAGACAATAGTGTGGTGAAGGCCTGGGAGGGGGTCAGGGGTTGGGTAGAGGAGCTCAATGGGGAAAGAAAGAGGGACATGTGAAATATTTTCAACAATAAAGATAATTAAAAAAAAAAGTGGACTTTATTCTCTAGGCAACTGGGAACAAAGGTATTTGAGCAGAAAAAAATACTTATTTTATCCTTCATTTTTGGAAGCATTAAGGCAGAATGGTAAAGGCAGGAGTTGCTGTAGGGAGATTCATTGGAAGGCTGTCTGTGTTGTCTTGGGGAGACACAATGGTACCTGGACTAGGGTGGTGGAAGTGGGGCTGAAGAGGAGGGTGAAGAGAGACATTTCAGAGGTGGTTTCAACAGGATTTGATGCAGTCATGTGCAGGGTCAAGTCTAGCCCAGCCACTCACAGGTAACTCAACTGGTTTCTCCTGCCAGTCTGCCCAAGTTCCAAAGTCAGACTCCAACACACCTGTAATGCCCGAGTGAGTTGAGAAGGCTCTGTGGAAAACATCAAAACCAGCCTGGCCCATGGACGTGGGGACCAAGTAGTCCTCAAAGGAAGGCACCACACTGCAGGAGCTGCTGGGTGGCATGGTCCTCTGGGAGTCAGGGTAGTGTGGGGGGCAGAATGTCTGCAGCTGCCCGTAAAATCCTGAAATGCAAGCACAGCACTGAGCTACTGTAAGGCACAACTTCCAAAGATCATTCCAACCCAGCTAGACCCTCACTCAGCCTAGATTCATGTGACAAAATGCCTTTAACTTTTAAGCTCACCTGTAAAACTTCCTAAGCAAGCATTTCAAAGTTTGTTGGCTTATGAACTTTTTATTGCTGCTCTGGTACCTGAAATTAGTAGGCATCTTACTTTCCCTAGACTATCCAAAGAGTCCTGGAACCTGAAGGCCTGACCTTCAAGAGACATTCCTTCCCAGGCTAGATTTTGAGAGCATCTTCCTACCCTTCCTTTCTCCTATATTCTGATTTTCACACTTAGTAAAAATTTGAAGAATATTTGTTTTTTTAAAGGCAACCGCGATCTAGTCATTCACTTGTTCCATGTGAATGTATAAACTTCATACATGTTTATATCTTCCTCATTATTTTAAATAGGTATATGGCATCCCACAGTTAGATTACTGCAATTTACTCAACTATTATTGTTGTTGATATTTGCAACAAATGGGAAAACTGAAAGTGAACAAATAGCATAATGAAGAAATACGTGGAAAGATTTCTTAATATTTTAAAATAATCACCAACATTTTGCTAATCATGTTTCACTTCTCTCAGTTTTTTAGGTCACTTAATAGAGTTTTCCTTGGGATTCTATGTGGTCCTTTTCTATAATCTTCCACACCTTCCTTTTCTTTTTTCCTCTTTGCCTCCTATAAATTTAGGATAATGGATTACTTTCTTTGAGTACAGTATGCTTTAAAAAATAAGTAATGAAATCATCATGTGATACTTTACTGAAGGGAGAGTTGTAGCTCTGTTATAAATTCCATATCATTGTCTCCTCAAACGTAAAATGTGAATGTCTATGCACTGTGTATGCTTGTGAAAATTAGGCAAGTCATTAGATAAGGAAGCCCATCTACAACATTTAACAGTGCATTATAAATGTAAGTTATTATTAATACCATTACTCTGTTTTTGGTGGAAAAAAATGAGGGATTAGTAGAGGAAGTACCTCAGAGTCCCTACCACGAACATTAAATGATAGAGAACCCAGAACTAACCCTAACCCATGAACACTGGGCCCTAGCCCTTTGTGCCTCCCTTTATTAGAACTGCCTCTTCATAGGATTGAAAGACTTTATGTTTGGTTAAAGAAAACTGAGCTCCAATCAACAAGTAGGGGAGGTGCTATTTGGGTTCTTTCTGGCTCTCTTTCAATACAACTAGGGCGCACTGACATACCAGCCGGGCATGCTCACAACTCTTCTCATTTCAGGAAGGCCTGTTCTATGGTTACTAGGAGCATTACCAAAGGATATGAGCTGAACTGCTCATAAGACATAGGCTGACCCCCTAGAGGCTTATTAATCGAGATACATGGGTAGGGCAGTTTTATGCACAGGGTACACTCATAGTAGAAAACAAAATAATAATATCCTTTATAAGCAGATAGTTGTTTACTTTATATAGAATCAAGAAAAATTACCCATAAGGTTTGAGGGTAACATTAAATGTATGGTAGTAGTTTAGAGTAGGAGGAGAAGAAAGAATGAAAAATTATTGGCTCTTCTCTTTTTAATACTCAAAGGCTTCTGTTTGCTTTCAACAGACAGATGGGCAAACCACCTGAACAGACCTCTCAAATACCCATATAATTGATCAACCGACATGGACAAACTGTCAGTCCTCTAGCCATCAAAGAAATAAAAATCAAGACAATGATAAAAATACTATATTCCACCTAACACATTAGTAAAGATTCCTAATATTCTCAGTGCTGGAGTGAGACTGGTGAAGAAGTCACTTCTGCATAGTGTTGCAGGCATGGCAAAAGAGTATAAATCTTTTGGAAAAAAATTTGACAACCTGTATCTAGAACCCGAAAAGTGTTCATACTCTTGTACGTGACAATTTTACTTCTGAGAATGTATCCTAAAGTATAGTACAAAGGAGAAAAGAAATTCTGCACAGATGGTCATCACGGTGCTAATTGTCATTATAGAAAACTGAAGAGTCAAAAAGGGTAACCATAGAGAATGGTTAAGCAAGTAGTGGTACCTCTACATGATGGGAATATTAAGTGGCCATTAAAAGAATAGCTATAAGGAAATTTTAATAATGTGAAAATACTATTATAAGGTTCACCTGGAAAAAAGCCAAGATACAAAGTCGAATAGAAAGACTAGGCTCCATGATGTGGAAGTCTATGTATAGGATAGACTTCAAGGCAGCATATGTATAGATGTATTTTTTTTAATGTTTTTCTGAATTTTAATAGTGATGAAAAGCAAGTACTCTGGAGCCAGATTTCCTGGGTTCAAAACCTAGCCCAACTACTTACTAATTGTGTAGTCTTGGTGAATTAACCTCTCAGTGTTTTAGTTTTCCAATTTGTAAAATGGAGATAAACATAGTATCTACACCTCACTGAATGATTATGAAAATTAAATTAATATTTAAATATTACTTAACAACCTAATATTATAATTATATGATTGATATTTATATATCTATACTACTAGAAGGGTAATATGCTAATTAGACTGGGAGACCTTCCGGATGTCTTTCCAGACAAAGCCATGGTGGCAGGGCAGAGGAAGAGGCAGTTAGGGACGATCAGGCCAGGAGAGGAGAAGAGTTGGGGGTGATCAGGCCTGTGGTGGGGAGGGGAGGAGAGAGAGACATTTGGGGGCGAGCAGGCTGGCAGTATGGGACAGTTGGGGACAAGCAGGCCAGCAGTGAGGGGCAGTTGAAGGTGATCAGGCTAGTTGGGGGGTGAGCAGGCCAGCAGACAGAGTGGTTAGGAGCCATTAGGCAGGCAGGCAGGTGAGTGGTTAGGAGCCAGTAGTCCCGGATTGTAGTCGGACATCCCCCAAGAGGTTCCAGATTGGAAAGGGTGCAAGCCGGGCTGAGGGACACCCACCTCGTGCTCGAATTTTTTGCACTAGGCCACTATTATTTAATAATGTAATTTATACAATGTATGTTTACTAAATAAGAAAAAGAAAATGTAAAATTATCCCACAATAATATAGTTCTTAAAAATAAAAATATAAATATAATAAGAGAAATAACGTTATAAAAAAAAGGCAGTAAGTACTCCAGAAATAACAAAATGTAAGAATGAGCACAGCAACGGGCATTCAGCTCATGTTCAGTTCCTAGGCATAATTCTCTGGACCATTCTTTATCCTCTGAGGACCTGAGCCATATACCTCATGCTGAAGTTTGTTCTCAGGTCCCGCACTAATTGACACACATTCTGATTTCTTCACTCACCAAGTGTGGGCTCAAAACAGCAACAAGTCTGAGTGGTCTGAAAAACCTGGGATGTGCAGCTTTGTGGTCTGGGAGTTCCTTAAACTGACCATGACTTTGAGTGCCTGGTGGCTAAGCACATGCAATCATGGCATGCCTACCAGAAGGAAAACATGACCAGGATCTACCATGGTTGGTTTATTAGAATGTCATGTTTCTTCATTGAGTAAAATAGGTAATTTTTGCTATTTATCCCTATGCTTGCTCTGCTTAAATTCATCACCCATAAATCCCCTGATGGTATTCCTTAGTGTAATGTTATTCTTCCAAGAAGAGAAGACATTTTTCACTGAACTCCCTCATTTCCCCAAATAGGGACATGATTCATTCAGGTGTGTCAGGTAGTGATAGAGACTTTCACCTGCCTTTTGTGAAAACCAATTCATCCTCTTCCCAGTCTTCTCTCATGCCTCTACGAAACAGCAGAAATGGCATATGGCTTCAATCTACATTGGAGGGTTCTGATGTGTAAGAGTATAAAAGATTTGGAATGTAGTGAAATATACCAAAGTTAAATATTAAGCCCAACATTCTGGGCTCTGCTTCCCAGTTTTCCCTGTCCATCTGGACCTGAGTGAGAGGGCAGAGTGGACTGTAATTCCTGCCTGTGGGTGTCTTGGCTGACACGAGAAATATTCAAAACCAGAATGACCCTCAAGCATGTTTTATCACTCTCACAGCCAACTCAGGGAAAGAAAATCCTCTTTATGAAATCCCTCCCTCCAAGAAGCCAGTTACTAGAGATGCCAAAAACACTGGTGTGGATGACTGTGGTCACTCAAATCAAAGAGTTTTAACATATCCTCTTCCCAGTGCTATTTCCATGAAAGTAATGAAAATTTAAAAAATTCTATTAGGGTCTTGCCACACACACAAACTGAGAAAGAGCCTACCTCATTTTTTTTAATGAATGGCTTCTGTATTCCAGCTGTTGGATTTCACATAGTACATTTGGAAGAAACACTACCTCTCGGACCCAAAGCAAAATGAGGAAAGATGTTAACACATTCTACGAGCATAAAACCTAAGAGCAATGGCAAGGTCAGCCAATCTGTCAGTCAGTAAATCAATGGTAGTTATCAAATGCTGGTCAAGGTACTGTTGGACAGACTGAGGAAATCAAGGATAATACCTTGTCCTTGGGGATGGATAATGCAGTTGGAATGAACACACACACATTTATAATAGCATTAACAATAGACTCATGCATCTATGTTGATAATAAATGTTAGGTGTCCTATTTAGCTATAAAAACCATCCTTCCCACATTTCAGAAGATATGCTACCTCCAAGAATGGAGGGAATTGGATGGAGTGTGGTGAGGAGGAATGTGCAGATAAGCTGATTTTACCCAAGCTGTAGATCCTAAGGGTCAAGGAGGATCATTCCTCCTCTTGTCAATTTTGGGAAGTGTGTTTTTTCTTCTAAAAAGGAACCTGTTTCTCTAACAATAAAAATATTTGGAATTAATTGTACCAACTAGAGAATGTAGAATAGTATAAACAAATATAGGAAAAAATTATCTTTATTTCCACATTTCAGATATAGCCAGATAATACACACAAAACTGGAATATTATACATATTGTTTTTTATCCTGTTTTGTCCCCTAACATTACCTATGAGCTTCACATATTATTAAATTTCATTCTTAAAA